GACTACAGCACTGAATTTTCAGTGCTTAATGCTGTTTTTGTCTCAAATTCCAAGCAAGCAGTATATACTACAGCTTGTTTTGTTATTTCATTTGCTCCATGGAAAGCCATTAGAGTGCAAACAAATGAGATTTTCCCAAATTGTTCTGAACCCGGTATAAAAGGGGAATAGTTTATTGTGTAACATCTCAATTTAGATCTAATAAAAAATGAAAAACTGAATATTCTGCTTTGAAAGTACGCAAACAGTTGTTATTTGTAGACGTGCTCAGTCTCTCAGCAAGCACCCAACGTGCAAAGCATCTCACCAAGTCCCCAAAGTTAAACATTCTTCCCTAAAAGAAGTAAAATACCAAACTATGATACCTGGCCTATCACAGATTGGAATCTTTCTCTTGGCTATTCGAACATCATGGGGGAAAAAGGAAAACACGAGTTCTCAGAAAGAGAAGATTTGGGAATTGATCGGAATAGCTTTCTTTTCTTTCTGGGGCATCATTCTTCCGTTGATACTATGATGTACTTAGAGAGGGCCAAAGTTTAAAACGACTCCTCCTCAATGGAGACCATTTGGGGCATGCCACCCTGCCATCATCAATGAGTGTTTAAAAATGCTACCCATTTGTTTTTTCAATAGGTCCCAAACAAAAAACGTTCTATCTTGTTTGTGCTGCATGGCTGCCTTCGACTCCACGCCGGATTTGTAGCTAAGCTAGGTAATCGGAGGGTTTTTAATCTTTATCTGTTTTTTTTTTTTTTTTAATGTAGGCTGAGGGTTATGCACTGAACTAAACAAAAGATGGTCTGTTTTTGAAAATTAACAATGCTAGGGTGGACGGTCAGGGTGGGTGGGTGAGCGGCCAGCTCCAGCGCAGCAGAGTGTGTGCTGTCATCATCACCATAAACATCTTTTTGGGGAAACAAAGACATATACACACACTCACAGGCACGCACGCGCGCGCACACACACACACACACACACACACACACACACTGCCCCACGCAGAATTTGATACAAGAGGTAATCTGCTCCTTTGTGGGCCGAAAACAAAATCTGGTTTCCGCTGGTTTGAGCCAGCGGAATCTCTGGTGGCTAAGCCTGCTGCTGTGGCCGCGCAGCCTGGGAGGCCGCGCGCGCGCCCGCGCGCGTCACGTGACCCCACACCTACCCACCGGTCGGGTTTTTTTTTTTTTTTTTAATATTTTTTCCAGCGCTGATAACGCGGCTGCCGCCTCTGTCCGCGCGCAGATAACGAATAAACGCTGAACTCTATTAAACGCCCTTTGCACATTATCGTGGGTCGAACACACCATTTTCTGAACTTGGGACGCCAGTCTATTTACTTTGCCATAAACCCTCAGCACGTCACTGACAGATTTGTGCCTGGTAATGATCTGCTCTGCCAGGGCTATATGAAATGATACCGACCTTCTTTAGATCTTGGGGAATTAAATTGACCGGCTTCACCCCCTGGTCTGTAGCTGAAGTTTGACACACTTTATGCACAGCAAGCCCAAATCGGAACTTAAGAGAACCTCGTCTTAAAAAATTAAGCAATTATTATCTGCTACATATTGCTTTGCTACAAAAACTTCCCCGCGTTTGGAACTGTCCTTCCCTTTACATGTATATCCTTCTACTCGGGATTTACTCAGTCATTGATCAATATAATTTTGCATATGGTAACTGTGAGCCTTCTAGGGTTCAAAAGACCAGCTTAGAATATTTTATTTGCCCCATTATCCAACTCCACTATGAAAGGCTCTGTGGTTTTTGTTCTGTAAGTTGTTTTTTTTTTCCTTTCTTGAAAATGGTTCTCATAAAAAGACATCAAGTTAAGAACTTCTAAGGTTTCCACTCTAAATACTCAACCCGCAATGAAGTGAAATGTCGCCATACTGAATGGCAAATACTTTATTTTAAAAGAATAGAAAGATGATGCCTAGGACAACATTCCTTAGAAAGCTGAGAACACAACAAAATATAAGTGTGCAATGCAGAGAATTCTGTTCTTTTTTTTTGTAAATTGAGGATGTTATATTTGAGGGACTGAAAAGGATATGAATCAGAAACAGATTTATTCAAAGTAATTAACTGGGAATTAAATTAAATGAAATGTGTTTTATATGAGGGACACTGAATTTGTATTCGAAAAAATTCTTAAATTTTTAAACAACAGCAGTTCCAATTACAGTAGAAATGTTTAGACATTTAAGAGCAAATTAATGTAATTTACAGTTAGTTGCAAGATTATAAACTGTACTTATTAACAGCCTGGTTTTAGATGCCTAAAAAATTGCATCATAAATTCCAGAATGAGAAATGGCTATTAACATTAATATTTGATTCAAGAAGCTGCTACAGGAATTGTACACTGCATTGAGAGTAACTAGTCAGTATTTTACTTATTTACAATCATTGCAAAGAATTCCTTATTTTATTATTTTCCTTTTTAAAATCTCCCTTTATATTTTAAGTAGTAGATGTAACCTAATTTCAACTAAACAAATACTGATAACGTTCTTCATCTTGCTTATCTTCAAGTTAAAACCAGTAAATTAAACATTTATCATAAATACTATATAAACAAAAAGTTTAAAAATCAACTTATCCACATTTAATTTGAAAACAAACTTATTTCTGGGCAGTAAATACTTTCAGGAGCTTAGTTCCTGAGCTATAGAAATTAATATGAAGAGCCAATTTAAAATTTTTTAATTTTAAAGAAGCTTCTATTTTGATTGTTTACTTAGTCTGAATGAATACTGATACAGATGAAGGTTATTTTTAAGTGACCATACCTGGTTAAGGATATGTTTGAGATCTTTAAACCTATATATAATGAGGAAAAGCCTCAAAATAAATGTTAATGATTTCCTCACGACATAGGAATTTTGCCACATTTTGGTAAAAAAAAAAAAAAAAAAAAAATCCAAAAAATTTAAGCACAGTTTCTTTCAAGTTTCAAACTCTATTCAAATTTTAAGCTGAAAAGTTCCCGTAAGTGATAATCTAACAGTTACATATTCTCATGGCTATATTCATCATATACCATTTATTGAAGTGACAGATCCTTAAAACTAAACTTCAGGTTTTCCAAGTCCTTTCAAAATTTGCAAGTTTGATTTATACAGGTCCACAAAAAATTTGGGCACAATCACTTTAAAGTGACAGAAATATAATTTGAAAAATCCAGAAAATATGAACTCAAATCTATTTTTGTAGAATGCTTTTCTTTAGACATAAAAATCATACTTATATGTGTGCAAGGCAAATATTTCAGGCACTTAAAATGTTCATGAAGAGATGTGAACATGGTTTAAATTTTTTTTAAAAAAGGACTCCTGTCACAGAGCTACAGCATCCATTACAATAAAAGAGTCTGAGTTAGACAGAAGCACCTCCTTCCTCTCTATTTCTTCTACATTAGGCAGTGGTTTCAAATGAGAGGGAAAAATCTATAGCTTTTTTTTAAAAAAAAGAACTGACATGGCAACTACACACATTTTTTTTAAAAAAAGATAATGCTTTTTTTGCAGCGGATGGGAAAGAAAATTATGATTCATTCATTCAATAGGCATGAGCAATCCAAACCTCACTTTTAAAAAGGGAGAAAATATTTTTCTCTCATCCTCACATTATTTAATCTATTATGAGTAAAACCCTTCATCACATCAGCCTTTTATGTTTGATGTGCTATTTTTTTCCTTTAGCTATTCTCACATTTCAGTAAGGGAAGCTGAAATCCCAAGTCAAATCTGAACAATGTTTACATGTCTGAACTCAAGCTGATAACATCCAAATAGTGGAGGAGGTGGGGTACTTCACCCAACAAATATCATCAGATCAGTAATCCTTTTCCCATCTTTTGTGTAGGTATTTCAGTCACACAGAAATGTTTGTTTATAATATTAATATTACAATAGTAAGACAGTAATGGCATATATAGTAGATGGTAATTTAGTATCAGCAATTTGAAATGGTAAATATAATTATGCAAAGTTTATAATGTATTCAATATGTTATGTTTCAGTATCTTATTAAAGTTTTGTTTCATCCAGTGAATGATTTGTGTTCCGTTTTATTGTGGCAGAGTAGAGACCTTTTCTGTACTTGCTAATGTAACCTTAATAAACACAGTCAAGTCTTGCTTGAGACGTTCCCTGTCCTCAATCAGTCTCCAGGGTTGTTTGAGACAATTTTTAATTCGTCTCCACACAAAGGTTCCTGAAAGGTTTTTTTTTAAGTCATGTACATAATCTATCTGAATTTATGAAGTCTGCAGTATTAATTCAAAAGAAGAAGTGGGGCATTAATTAGACTCACGACACTACCATATGATCCAATGAGAACTGACAGTCAAGTGTCAAGGGCCTTTTGAGAAGATATTGTATCATTTTTGCCTGTGCAGAACTTAAACTGCAAAAAAGGACACACTATTATTACTATTACTATTATTACTATTACTTGGCAGAAGCAGTTCCTCTGTCAGGGTATCCAAGTTCTACACTGGTGCTTACAATTTGCATTTTGGTGAATGTATTTTTAAGAAGCTACACAATAGGAGACTGAGCTGTGCTATTGAATTTTGAAAGCTTACTTTCATTTGTTTTGCTGCAAGTGTTGATTTAATTATACTGCATTATTATCAAAGCTGTATTATGTACTTTTTTATTCCTTTTACATGTGTTTGAGGTGAAGACCTTGGCTTTGTCTGCAAACGGTGTGTTTCAAGTTATTCCTTAAGTACTAAATAATAAAGAAATGAGAAGAAAAGATTTTTTTAAAAGATAGCAGACAGTGATCACAAGGTAAAGGGTTAAATGTAAGATCTCCAAGAAACATTTTGAAGTTGATTAAGACTCCAGCTTTGCATTAAACAGTATCGCTTCCACATGAGTTGCTGCTAATACCGTTAAGGAGCAGCTTGAGAGCCCAGTGGGCCTGTGACCTCCTTCACCCTCCAGCCACCCACCGGGCCTTCCTGATTAGCATTCTACCTGGTTCTCTGAGGAATTCCCATCATCCCCTAGGAGCTCATTCCGTACTTCGTCACTGTAGGCGATCCGTGACCTTTTCTATAAAACAAAACAAAAAGGGAAAGGAGGAGATGAACATTAGAAAGTAAAGGCTTCGAAGCATTATCCATATCAAGACCGATCATCTCAAACCTCGAGAGCCCCCTAATGGAAACCCATTGGTGAAAATTTGCAAACCAAAGTTGTCTAAAGTTCCTGAACTTGAAAGGTTCAATGTAAATTACAAGTTTTTAAACATGCCAATAATATGAGGAAATACTGTTATGTAAACTTTCTATTAATATTTACAAATGGATTAGGGCTTGTATATTATTCCATACATCATCTATCAAATGAGATCACTAAGCTAAAAGAAATACAGCTAACTGGCTCTATAGCTATAAAACTCACAGATTGTAATTAGAATAGGAACACATGGGGGTGGGGCTTTGAGATCATAGCAGGAAACAGACTGTACAATTAGAGCTTTAAAAATTATACCTCCAATTCTATTCCGGAATGCTTGGACTAGCACATCTGTACTTATTTCATTATTACAATGTTACTATCCAAAGCAAATTTAAGACAGTCCTTTATCCAAACAATAATTCAAATGCCCCTAACTTCTTTATAAAGAATAGGTATGTGTGTGTGTGTGTGTGTGTGTGTGTGTGTGTGTGTATGCGCGTGCACGTGCATGTATAAGCAAATTAAATTTCCCAACCCCATTAAATAATACCAAGTAGGCTATGAGTCAAACTTTCACAATCCCAGTAAATAAAGACGAAAGGGTGGTGAGTCAAAGCTTCACACACTGAAATTTTGTTTTACAAGAAATCTACCCTCACCTATAAACTCAGAGGGACATGTCTGCAAGCAATTCATGAATTATCTAAACATATGCATTTGAGAAAGCTAAAGGGCTCTGAAAACTAGTGGTGAAACTAAAGTCTGATATTCAGTTCCAACTCTATCTTGTTTATTTCAGACCCAATTTAGATTTATAAGGTACTTTGTGCCCTTTCAGCTTCTCAACTCAATAAAAATGGTCAGTTAGAAAATGACAGGTAGGAAAGAATAATCTCTTTCTGATCTGGGATCTACAGTGTGGGTCTTGAACTTCTTACCTCTTTAACTGTGATCTAACAAGAAGTATCCATAATCCATGAGCAAAAATCAACAATAACATTTTAATTAGATTTTTAGGTGAGTCAATGATTAACTCTGCTTGAACCTAGAAGATCATAAAACTTTAAGCATAAAATCATATTGTATTAGAATTTAAAAGGAATTTAAATAAGAACAACCAATAAACTTTAGATCATTTTAAAGAGGTAGTCTTTCTCAACTGAGGTTCTTTATCTGAACTACAAATCACATAAAATTACTTCTGCAACTATTTTCCTAGTTCTCCCAAGAGTGACACATAAGAGAGAATTTAGTTCATTTCACATAATTGAAGACTTAGCACTTAGGGCTCTCGCAGAACCCAGGTTTGTTTCTTTTTTTTAAAGCCTAATAGAATAAAAATATATTAATCTACATAACTATTACCTCCCTTTTCCAGAAAAACAAGTTTCATAGAATTCTAAAGGCAATTTTGCTTGAATTGAGATTAGAGCATTGGACTCCTGACTCACAGCTAAGTGCTCCTTCTACTTCATAAAAATTCCTCCCTATAATTTCACCCTCTGGGTAGACTCAGGGAAAAAGGCACAAGAAAGGGCAAAGTGTTTCAGTATTAAGTAGATTGTGTCTTCCCTTTCTTGCCCAGATCTCTAAAAAGCCATACTTTCTTTCCACTAATATGTACTTTAGCAACTGCAATAAGTTTAGAAGTAGGTAAATAAAATTACAGCAATTTGCAGACAAAGGGACAGATTGGAGAAGCCAACTCATTAGCCCAAGGTCTAAAAAGACATCCCATCAGATCTCTTGAAATTCAGGAGTGATACAACCCATTCACACTGAACATTTTATCACTACGAACAGCATATGCTAAGCTTGCTTTTTTGCTCATTGTATCTACTAAAGCTACTGTTATCTATTTCTACTGATTTCACACATAATTGTATTTGTAAATCTAAATTATAAAGACAGTCCACTCTGGGGTCTTAGTACAATATTTAATTCAACCCAAAGCTTTCTTTTGTCCATTTGGAGATTCCCCACTATAGTAATTTCAAACTATATAGCAATTTCAAGCAAAAGTATTTTACAGCTTTAAAGGAAATGAGAACCTTCAAATAGGCTGTGGTATCAGAGCTGCCTTTTTAATTATTCATCTCAACACTATGGGGGACTAAAACATTCCACAGTATGCAAGAATATCATACAGAGATTGTTTTTGTTTTTCCCTTTTTTCACCAAAATACCAACAAATTGGCATAGATTATTCAATTACATTATAATCTTATTTTGACTTTGTGTGCTTCAAAAGAAGAAGAAAATTGTAAGTGTGGATCCCTAAGTATCTAATCTTGTTTTGGTTAGAACGCACTGTTTTTGAAAACCAGCAATTAAAGAGGATATGTGCTCAGCAATAGAGGAGAACTAAAGATTTATCCACAGTCAAAAGGGTGGTCTCTATAAATGTCATTCTTCAGCATTGGAATGGTAAAAACTGGTCATTTGGATGGCTGTTCTGGATGTTAATTAAGCAAATGATATGCTGAGTTTCACAAAGTGGTCTCGGAGAAGCTAACTTAAGAAATGAAAAGACTAACTTATTTCAAATATCAGAAATAGTTCCCCATGAGCTGAACACAGAACTCTTTACACTTGAGTTTTCTTTTAATAAGACAAACCAAGATATTGTTTTACTAAGAATTATATTTAGATGCCCAACTTAGATATCTTCTCATAATTTCTGAACAGCTGAAATTTTAAGTAAGCTGATGGCATGTAATCAGTCATAATTAGGACAGCAAGATATCATCACTAAACAAATTGAAAACCAAAAATTATAAAATACTGTTTTATGAATAATTTTCCTCTAAACATCAAGAAATTATCTTTATAGAATGTTTAAAAAAGCTCCTGTTATGATCATTACTACCTACATAATATTTTAAATGAGGATTCAAAGTTAATGAAACTGAAACCTCTTTATAATTATAACTAAAATATTTTTGATTATGAACAGTATAAAATCTGTACTTTAGCCAAATGCAGGCATGAGAATTTGAGCTGAAATGTCACACATTCAGCTACAGTTTGAAGGAACCCAATTCATAATGCATTTTATAAATAGTTAATGACTTCTATACATAAGCTAACCAGGCAAATCAAGAAATTGTCAACATTTTTAGTCTTAGTTGTCAGTTACCACTGCCTACTGGTGCTTTATATGTGGCTGTGGAGAAGACAGAAGCTCTCTGCAGTTTGTAATCTACTGCAATTTCTGGTCTACACTGAAAGGGTGGAATAGCTTCAAAATTACACACACACACACACACACACACACACACACACACGCACACTCAGAGTTAAATACAAGAACATTCCTCAGTTTCAGTTGTGTGCTTATACAAAGCTTATTCTTTCTAACTTATACATACTTCAATGAACTAGACACCGCTAGACAGAAAACTTCAGGTCAGGTATGAACAAAAAATATGAAAAATTAACAATTGCTTGTTACTTCTAAGAAGTTAGAGACATAAAGTTTCAATAGTCACTTTAAAATGATGACAAAAAGTGAGTCTGGTTATGAAAGCAAGATTTCAAACTCAAAGACTTTCAATTTTTCACTTGGAATAGGAACAGGATGTTTGCACACTGATTGGCTGATTTTCTTAACACCAAGTTCAAACATACCCAATTGTTCAATTCTGTCTGGAAAGTTGTTGAAATTGTCTATCTACTTGACCTGAGCTTTAACATTTCCCAACTAAGCAAATGTGTTCATGGGCAGGCACTGCTAACTTGGAACAAAACAAATTAACTTAGCTTAAACTAATTAAAAATGGTGATCTCTGGTACTGCCTTCTATGAGTCTCTATATGTCAAATATAGTGTATGTAGCCAGAACGAGCGAAAACATAACAATGAAGTTGGTTTATTACTAAAGCGTATATGAGAATTTAATTTCCATGGCGTGCACATGGCAAAGCAATTGCTTAAATTGCCTCACCTGGGAATTTAATACAATGTTATCATCAGACCAGCCACATTGTAAATAGATTTATAATGCTTTCCATGTGCTGTTCTCTGTTGCATATAAATTAAGTAATGATCTGGTATTACAATAAAAATCAGCTAGTTCCCACACCTGGCAGACAGGATATTTCACTAAATTAATACCCATACAGCTACATCACAAGGCACGGGAGGGAAAACCATCTCTAAGCGTTTCACTTGGATTTTACATGGGAAGTAAATATTCCATGGTGTTGTACAACGTACGCTGAATGGTCTGCACAAGACAATCTATTTCTAACATCTGTATCACAGAATTAAGACTTTTTCCTTCCATTCAATCTTGGCCTAATTTCCTTCATTCAGTACTTTAATTACTAATCAGCAATTCGCAACATTCACAAACACTAAGAAGCCCTTTATTCTAATCTATGCACTGCAGACAGCCAAACAATTGATACAAAGTGCAGTGTGGCTTTGGGAAGTAATGAAAGAACAGCTTGTCCTACTTCCTAATCAAATTGGTCTACAGAAGAAATAGTTAATAGATTTCTCCATAGTTCTAAAACAAATTAACCAGTCTGGCCAGACTTTTCCACAACTCCTACCATGTTTTGCAGTTTCCACATATTTAATAATGCCCAAGGTTACCAGGTGATGCATGTATTAAACTGCTCTGCTTTCATAGCCAAAGAATTTAACCGCTCCTGTTATAATTAACACTTTGGGATATCTATAGTGTACCATGAAATTATATTTATTAGCTAGCCATTTAATTGCTGGCATTCAGTTCTTAAATTTATCTGGTTCTAATTAGATAATACCACAGCACATAATAGCCAAACAGCATTTTCAAAAAATGTATCTTTCTCTGTCACCGAGTAGTGCATCTTTAACCTGGTTTCTATTGCTCAATGCCT